CATGAATCTCGGTAATTTGTGTCCTTCGAACGCTGTCATGATTGTCGCATTGTTCTTGATTTTCTTGGCCTGCAGCGCAAGCAGGTTGTTCGCGTTCACAATCTTTCGGGTCACAATGTCCTGAGTATCGCTTACGGGGATCCCGCGAATCACTCTTTTACAGGTATTGTGGAGTGCCGTGGCGTACGCGCTAACCTCGAAAACTTTCCCTCCGATGTCAATTTGCTTAACGTGGAAATATCTTGAAGCTTTGTCTTGGTCAGGAGTGCCTGCCGCCATAATGTTCTACTGCAGGTTGGAACAGATGGTGTCCTGCATGGCCTACTCTTCTTTGACGTCGGCCGCCAGTACTATCACATCTGCCACGGCTCCAGCGCCAATTCTCGAGATATCAAATCCTCCACGTGGTCGTAGCACAATTTTGCTAAAGTCCTTGGGTAGTGGTGGCATGCGTCGAGCCCGCACATTTGTGTGCTTGGTGTGTCAATTCTACTCCGACTGGCTCGAACGTCTCCCCCAACGCCAGCCTTGGTCGAGCCCTTGGCAGCAGAAACGCTAACCGCGGCTAACTTATTCCTTGAGCGTCTTATTTCGGCTTCCTTCCAACCCAGGTCTTCCATGCGATCCTCTGCAGAGATGTCCTCTTCATCTACCCGGTATTCCATTCTCAGTTGCAGCTCCTGGAACACGCAGATCGTTGAGTAACGTTGGCGCCGGGCCAGCACATCGGCGGCAATCAGTTTCTTGGTTAGGCTTAAATCCTTCGGTGGCGTTGCCAAGTAAAAATGTTCCAAAACTCGTTTATAATTCCACTCACCACCACAAAGGTGGTATCCACTGATTTCTTGAAAACTTAGGCACATGATGAGACTGAAGGCATTTTCCTGCTCCACGGGAAACCATTTTTGAAAGCAGGAGCCGATTTTCGCGCGTCCGCACTGGTTGGCAGCTAGTGCGTCTGCCAGCTCAAGTCAGAAAACTTTGATAAGTAATGCTGTTCAAGGCTGCTAATGGTGCGACTGTGTCTTTGAAAGCAATGGTAGAAGCATCATACAGTGTGTGAAGTGTATATAATATCGCAGCAGCGTTTACATCAGTTGGCAACGTTACCTGGCAGCGAGTGTCGCTTTTGTATCCGAAATAATGAAACTACAACTGTAATTTTTTGCCTTGACACAGGGCATGGGCGTCAGAAGGCAAGTGCAAAAGGGGCCCATTTGCCCCCTCAAGCCTCACAAGCACTCGCCGTCACCCAAGCTACAGCAGTGCTTTCCCCCTCCATCAGCCGCGATGCAACACTGGTTTGAAACCGCAAGAAAAATTCCTGCCGACGACCACGGCACAGGAAACAAAAAAAAAGAAAGAGGTGCGTGAAGCAACGATGGGTGAGGCATCTAGGTATATGGTGAATAACAAGCAGATACGAATGAACATGACCAAGTAGTAAACAGCAAAATAAACACTAGGTAAAACTGCAATAAAAAATTCTGGTGTTTTTTTATGGACTCACCAAAGACTACATAAGGCGAAAGTCGTTTTTTTTTGCACTCGGTTTATTGGTATTTTTCACACCCATCCGAAGGTTTTCTGCACCCAAGGTGGCTTTGCACTGGTTCTATGAGCGGAGGCATTCCAAACATTTAATACCTCAAGGCCCACCAGCATTTGCCCACGCCCAAGCTACACCAGTGCTTTCCCCAGCCGCAATTCAAGACGGGTTCACACCCATGGCATCATCCTGCTGACACTCATGGACTGGTGGGGTAGAATGTGCACATCAACTGAAAATAAAAACGAGACGATGTTCACCTCTGTCCTCATATAGGTGAATGCCCAAGAGACCCTCTGATTTCTTAATGAGGAATCTAACGCTGTCCTCGCTGTAACTTCACGTATTACGTGGTAAAACAACGGTAAAATCCCAGCCCCGTAATCACAGTCAATGAGAACTCAAATGTCTTAACAAAGGTCAAACGTAGCTGCAGCATCACAAAAATATAAGCCCTGAAGTAGCGATCAGGAATGAAACCAAACGTCCGATGTCTTTCACGTCTACACCCAAGAACAGACCAGGTTTGTCCGCCACTTTTCTTCTTCTTCGGCATGTTCTGTAATGATTCTCGCTATTCATGGCGAGCACTACAACCTAGTTCACGAGCATGAAAGGCGGAGCACTCAGAAGTAGTCATTTCTTCACGAGAGCAGCACCTTACGCCAGCCGACGAAAGCAGGCGAAAGCGGGAAAGCGTCGTCTGCTGTGTCTACCCGGCGCTCCACTTTCCCAAAATGCTCTTGCCCTGATGCACCAGGGGAAGGCGCGGCGCTGTGATTTCTGGAAACGTCCATTAAGCCCCAACTCCACGCACGCGTTCGCGCGCGAGATTCCACGCGCTCACGCGCCTATGCGCTACCACGTGACGGCCGGAGACGGTGCGCCAGGCGAAGCGCGCGCGTTCGGAAAGATCTGGCTATGCCAGGTATTTTTACACGCGCCGGAAGTTGCTCCCTCGGCAGCAGCCAATCAAACGCCGCTGCCGCGGGCTTCTGCTCCTCCTGTCTCTCAGCCGCAATGGCCGCCCTCTGCAAGTTGTCGGCGATGGCGGTCGATAACGAAAAACTAATCTCTTGTGTGGCCAGCCGGACGTCCTTGTGGCTGGCCACGCACAAGAACCACAAGAATCGGCAAGTCAAAGATGCCCTGTGGAAAGACGTGGGTCAAATAATGTATCCGGGGAAGGCCAGCAAAGGTACGTACGGCGCGTTTCCGCCGGCTTGACAGGTTGTGTTGAAAGCAGTGGCTGATATTTCATTTCGTCTACGCAGAGTGCATCACTGCGCTGCAAAAGCGCTGGAAGTTTTTGCGGGACAAGTTCCGAAGGCTGTTCGTGCTAGCCCAGAAAAAAAAAGAAAGCGGCATGGGCACGGAAGACGCCGACTCCGACACCGAAGATGAGGGCGATGAAGGGAACCCGCCTGCCGACAGTCCAGTGCAGCCGGCTTCGTGGCCCTTTTACGAGCAGCTGGTGTTCCTGCGCGACACCATGACCTTCCGAGAGTAAGTTTATTGACGCTTTGATTGGCATTACGAACTAGCGAAAGAGAAAAGCTCGCGTATTTTTCGCGTTGAATAAAGTAGCTTATGATTTTGAGCCTTGCCGCTTTTGGGAATGCTGGCGAAAGTTGCTAATACGCCACAAAATTTTACACGAAACGCGACGAGTAAAGGTAAAAACGCACAAAGAGTGCTTCTTGCGTATGTGTATTTCTGTCCTGTACACACCCAATGTGCATACTTTTGCGCCGTGCCCCGCGTTCCCGCACCAGAATAGTCTTGATTATTGAAAGCTAAAAATTGCTTGCAACAGTACCAAAACCGCATCTGTAACGTGCGGTGTAATGCGAGGTTTAAACTAGGGATGCTCTAAAAGTGGAAACCTACAGTAATTAAAACTTGCTTTATTATGTCACGCTGAAGCCAATAAAAGTGAGCATTTTATTGCTCACAGTGATTGGTGGGGCCGCTCATTAGAGAAGCAGTTTTGTCCAGATGCAGAAGTGATTCCCTTGCAGTTCTTGGAAGCATATAGAAATTCTACACTACTCAGATGTACAAGTGGTGCCAAAGGTGCCCAAACCCTGTTGCATACAGTCATTATGCTGGACATCTTTCAGACAGCTGTAGAGGATGCAAACAGGGGGCAGATCTTGCACATAAATTATGGGAATTGCTTCGAGCTATCTCTTAGAACCACATCATTGTTAGTGATGAGCAGTGGGAGACTGCTCCTCACCTCAGATCCGGCAGATCAGCTCTGGGACATTCAGTTAGCCGAAGACTCTGCTAGGACCCAAAGTCACCTGGCTGATGCCTGGGATAGAAGGCTAGCCCTACTAAACTGGACAAAGAAATTTACTTTCCCTCTTCCCCCTTATAATGAAAAACAAAACAATTATAGTGTTCGCACACACTATGCTGTAGTGTAACAAGCATGCATTTATTAACAATGGGAATGTTGGCATGTTTGACGTTGCATTAACGATCGCCTGTGTAAACACACTAACTTGCTGAAAGGGTCTGCCGGCAGCCGCAAGTTAAAAAAGGAACTCAGAATGGCATGCGAGATCCATGAGGCGTTCTGTATAACACAATGCAGCAATGAGTGTGCTAGTACACAAACTATGGTTGCAAGAAGCATACATTTATTAACAGTGGGAATATTTTGCCATCTTTCAGGGCAAACATTGACACTTTTTTACACACCTATACCCTAATACATACACCTTCATTTTTGCTGTGCAGGACTTCTGGAAATTTCGAGTCTCAGAGGAGGCAAAGGAAGGAGGTTGTTCGACAGGTGGCACGGCAGGAGACCCCGGAAACCCTTTTTAGAGACATGTGTCCGAGCCAGTTTGACACCATCGAGTTAGATCAGACTGATTACCCCGCCGATCTTTATCCAGCGCCGGTGGTGTCAGTTGAGTGTAGTCCGTCGCTACTGGAACCAGGAATGTCATTCCTTGAAGCGACGCAGTCAAGTGAGTCGGCACCATCACCGCTGGGAACTGCGTCACCGCTTGGGTTGGCGGCAACGTCAGTGGAAAGCCAGGGGTCCAGCCTTGCCAGCATGTCTGTGATGCAGCCACCCAAAAAAAAGACAAAAGGAAGACGACAATGACAGTTTACTTGTAGGGCACCTTGGAAAACTTACAAACAGTCTAGAGGACCAGGACGACCATCATTATTTTGCATTGTCGCTCGTGAAATCAATGAGAAAAGTAAAAGAGGAAGACCACTTGCGCATGCGCATGAAGATTCTGGAAGTGATCCAGCAATTTAACAGTAGCTGAAGTGTGGTGCTTCTTGTCCTTAGAGCTGACAAAGCGTGGGCATAGAGAATGAGGTATGTTGCAATATGAGGCATGGTGCAATATGAGTGGGCCAACATTACATGGCTAAACATGATTCAGGGTGTCTTTGCTATTAAAGGAGAAGTTTACCTTCAGCAAAATGGGTGAAGCCCCTGCTCTTCCAAGCGCTTCAGGGCCTCTTGTTTGGAGACTCCGGGCTGGTGCCACTGCCACGGTACCTCTCCAGCACTGCTGCAAAAGTAGGCCGAGAAAAGCGTCCTGGCATCCGCAGCATCTGCACTGAAGTTCCGTGACTGGGATCCCTGAAGTGGGAAATAGCAGGGGTCCACATGCCCCTGCCCCGACGTCTGCTGGATGCCCTGCCTCCACCGTCCTGGAACCACATTTCCGAACCTGTCCTCTTGGTCGAGGATCTGGTCCGATTCCTCATTTAGGACCGCTAAGAAATTATGCAGTACACATGCTGCCTTCACTACATAATCCACATTCTTGGGGAGAAGCTGAATGGTGCGGAGCAGTATGCGCCACCTGGCCGCTGTGATGCCGAAGGCGTTTTCAGCACACCTCCTGGTAAAATGAAATAATAGTACAAAACAGGTTTTAGAAGCAGCCACCTTTCAAAGCCGATTCATTAGACTATTCTTTAAAACTGCAGCTACAAGAATGGCAACGTAAAATGGGCACAGTGCTCATAAGCTCGCGTTTTTTTAGAATAAAAGCCCTATGCTCATTATTTATACATAAAGAAATCTTTTGCGCTTATTTCTGTACGGCCTTCTAGAGAAGCAACGTGAACAGCTAATTCAAATCAGCATTTATGTTTGTAATGTAAGTTTAATCACAAGTCGCACAAGCTGCTACGCATGCCCTATTTTTCTTAGCTGGGTAAAGGACACTTGTTATTGAGATGGGGTCACAAACATTGTGCACGGTGCACACCTCAATTTGACTTGTGCTTGCGAGATCGCTTTGTCATAATGATGGTTTGTACTAAGCGTGGTGAGCTTTTTATGTGCCCCTTCTGTTTTTGGATGTTTTTCCTCTGAACTGTTTTCGTTCAGCTGCTTTGTCCGCAAGTTAGAGCCAGTGTTCTTGAGCTACGGGGTTGACTATATGCACTATATTGTGAAATTAGAGCCACTGTTTTTAAGCTATGTATTTTGTGTTCATTGTTTTTATTTTTCTTCATCGATGTCTTGCTGTGAAGTGTGCATTAAACGTTATTTCAAGTGCTTTCTGTGTTTGTATAAAATTGAGTATGGCAGGCTCAGCATACCCAAAGAAAGTGCCTGATATCATACCGTGCTCGGCTTAGTCTGTAATTGAACACTCTTCGTTCATCTTCAAGGAGTCTAGCAGGGAAAGGGTGCATAAAGTCGCGCCACAGCTGGAACGCTTCCTCCCCGACGAAAGCGTACGGCGCCACCTTTGTGGTGCCTGGGAGCTGCCCCTGTGAGGGGATGTCAAGCTGCCCTTCGGTTAGGGCCTTCCCAAACTTCGTGTTCTTGAACACTCCACCGTCACTCTGGCGGCCCTCTGCCCCAATATCGACCAGCACGAACTTCGAAGAGCTGTCGACCACGGCCATCAGCACAATGGAGAAAGTACCCTGCAGCAGTAGGCGTCAGACTAAACATTAGCACATGTAAAGTTGTATGTGTAGGTGGGACCTACAATAATAAACGATTACAAAGAAAAAGTATGACAAAATTTACAAAATCACCTATGCTGGCCACGCATTTATTTGTACCAGCTCATTGTGAAAGATTTCTGGCATGCACAGTGCTAATTTAATTTAGCCGTAAGGGCTCTGAAAAACACCTCTGTTGAAATTAAATTTCGAAGTAAACATCAAATCAAGCTGTCATAAGTACCTGCCGCAGCACTGTGTCACGAGGCTAGTCAAACCACAAGCTCTCATGTAGAATCTTGTGCATACAAACCGATGAGAAAACCCACATCGGTAAAGAGAACACGAGACCGTTTATGCACACAAGAAAAACAACTAAATCTATTTTCAATAAACTAGATAAAGAGGAAGGAATAAGAGGAAAAACAAACAAAGCACACAAATTCGAGAAGAAATTAACCTAATGACCGCGAAATGCTAAGGATGCGTAAGTTCCGCAACAGCAAAAGCGACTGTCACCGTTCGGTCGCGGCACTCTTGTAGACGGCGAGAGTGGATGCGATGGGGTGCAGACAAGGTAGATCAGAGGTCCAAGCGTTGCTCGGATTGAAGGTAGCTCCAGGCGCACCAAGGTCAGTGACCTCTCAGCGTTCGTCCTCCGACGCTGGGACGTAGCCCTGGAAACGGGACGGGCCTGGCCAAAGCCAAACGACGAGCAGCCTGGCCAACGCCAGACGACGAGCGGCCTGGCCAACGCCGGACGATAGATGATGCTCGGGTGCCCGACCAGGTGGGAGCTCGCAGCAGCCTTGCCTCAGGAACTCGGCCGCCACCCCCGCGCCCTGGTAGCCTGCTTGCCTCCGTCGCGTCCCGGCCACGTCTGCCCCGTTCTTCGTTCGGGCTTCTTTCAAACCAGCGTGGGGGCCTCTCATTGGTCCGAACTTCACGCGCCTCGTCTGCCCATCGTCTTCCTCACCGAATACATCGCGAAAGCGCGCGTCCACACCATCGGTCGTCGTCGTCTTCTTTCCTATCCTGGTGCACTCGCGCACATTTTAAACCAAGCACTGGTTGCACTCGCGCACTTCACGAAACGCGCACTTCACTTATCACAACATGCCCCGTTTTCGAAAAGTTTTTTTCCCAACGGAAAAAACTGCCGGATGCGTGTTTCACCACACAGGATACGTTCTTGGAGTTCGCATGAACACATGCACACTGGTATCACTGCAACATGTCTTAAGAAGCACACTTACAGGAAAAAAAATCCACATATGGTAAACAATATTCCGATGGTTGGTTGAAATGCTTTGCCTCCCATCTTTAGCAACACCTGAATTCGTATCTATGGCCGTAACCTGCTCATGAAGTCGGCACCTGCGTTTTCAGAGCCTTTGACATGTTGAATATGAAAAGTGTACTCTTGTAGTACTAGACTCCACCTTAGCAACCTACTGTTCATGTGTTTTGCCTTCGCTAAGTATTGTAGCGGTTGATGATCTGTCTGTACGATAAAGTGTACTCCGTACAAAAATATATGAAATTTTTCTACCGCCCATACTAGCGCTAAGCATTCTCGTTCGATAGTCGAGTAATTCTGCTCCCGAGGCAACAGCTGGCGGCTGGCATACGACACTGAGTGCGAAAAATATGGCGAAAAAATCTCCACCTTCGCCTCTGGAACCGTGATCCGGCTCCCGTCTGCTAAGAACAAGGCCGTCGTGGTTCCTGTCAGTGCTTCATCTGGCACCAAAGAACGCCGAACCACCATTGTATTGCTTCCTGTATCCCGTAGGACGGAAGCAGCTTGGCCGAATATAATGCCCTGCAGCACTGGCATCGGATGTTTTTCTGACTTTGGCTGCGTATTTACCGCACTGGTCATATTCTCCTCCTGCTTGTCCGCAGGTATATCATTCACTACTTCTGCCTTTTTCTCTGGCGACAAGATACAAGAAGTCCTCTTCGTGACGTTCTGCTTTCTGGTACATACATTAATATCATGCCCTGTTTGCGACAGTAGTCACAGTATGGTCTTGTCCGAGCACGACATTCTGCTGCCCTGTGACCTGTTTTATCACAGACAAAACATCGAGTGGGAGACTTCCCCGCTGTACTTCCGCATTTTCCTGCGGTGCCGTTCTCCGTTTTGTCGCGAAAAACTAACAAATTTGACTGTCGTTGGGCCTCTAAAAAATTGTCCGCAGCCTCGGCCATTTCATCTAGCTTACGACATTTTTTCTCACGTAGGAAAAGCGCCACGCGGTTATGGCATTAATTGATAAACTGTTCAGCTACTATGAGATCTCGAACAGACGAATAATCTTTTGCTGTCTTGGACATCTCCACCCATCTGTCGAAAAAACTTGCCAACCTGGTTGCATACTGCTTGCCTGTTTCTCCATCTTGAGGTCTGCTATGCCGGAACTTCTCCCGGTAGCCCTCCGCCGTGAAACGAAAACGCTGCAGTAATGCTAGCTTGGCTTTCTCGTAGTCAAGTGCCTCTTCTGGAAACAAGCGACCAAATACTTGGAGAGCTTCTCCGCTCAGACACAGACTCAGTGCCGTGGCCCACTTATCCTTAGGCCATTCCTGACCGGTGGCCACATTCTCAAATCTCTTGAGATAAGCATCAAAGTCATCCCGGTTTTCATTAAACCCGGGTATGAAATTGTGCGGGTTAACGTTACACGGTTCTCGCACCTGTCGACCATGGTCCGACGCCGCGGATCCCCTGGCCCCTTCCACCTGAGCAAGTTGAGGACGCAGTTGAATCGTCTTCTGGCATTCGGCCTCAAGTTTTCGTTCCAACTCCGCCTGTTCCATCCTCTCCTTTCTTGCCTCTCGCTCAGCTGCCCTTTCTTCGCGAGCTCGTGCCTCACGCTCATCAAGCCATGCCTTCAACTCATCGCCCTCTGGCCCCATGCGTATCGCTAACGCCGTTAAATCAGACGTAGTCATTTTCTCTCCTTCTGTAAAAACCTTAATTGCATAAACAATCTCGTCCTGCCGTGGACGCCAATTGTCACGAGGCAAGTCAACCCACAAGCTCTCGTGTAGGTTCTTGTGCATACAAACCGATGAGAAAACCCACATCGGTAAAGAGAACACGAGACCGCTTATGCACACAAGAAAAAGAACTAAATATATTTTCAATAAACAAGATAAAGAGAAAGGAATAAGAGGACAAACAAACAAAGCACACAAATTCGAGGAGAAATTAACCTAATGACCGCGAAATGCTAAGGATGCGTAAGTTCCGCAATAGCAAAAGCGACTGTCACCGTTCGGTCGCGGTACTCTTGTAGACGGCGAGGGTTGATGCGATGGGGTGCAGACAAGGTAGATCAGAGGTCCAAGCGTTGCTCGGATTGAAGGTAGCTCCGGGCGCACCATGGTCAGTGACCTCTCAGCGTTCGTCCTCCGACGCTGGGACGTAGCCCTGGAAACGGGATGGGCCTGGCCAACGCCAAATGACGAGCAGCCTGGCCAACGCCAGACGACGAGCGGCCTGGCCAACGCCAGACGACGAGCGGCCTGGCCAACGCCAGACGACGAGCGGCCTGGCCAACGCCAGACGATAGATGATGCTCGGGTGCCCGACCAGGGGGGAGCCCGCAGCAGCGTTGCCTCAGGAACTCGGCCGCCACCCCCGCGCCCTGGTAGCCTGCTTGCCTCCGTCGCGTCCCGGCCACGTCTGCCCCGTTCTTCGTTCGGGCTTCTTTCAAACCAGCGTGGGGGCCTCTCATTGGTCCGATCTTCACGCGCCTCGTCTGCCCATCGTCTTCCTCACCGAATTCATCGCGAAAGCGCGCGTCCACACCATCGGTCGTCGTCGTCTTCTTTCCTGTCCTGGTGCACTCGCGCACATTTTAAACCAAGCACTGGTTGCACTCGCGCACTTCACGAAACGCGCACTTCACTTATCACACACTGGAAGAATACTGCATACATGAAGTATTCTGGCAAAACGACTTAGACCACGGGGCTGTATTCCTTCGTTTTGGCAAACTGTGAGCTCAGTCCCCTTCTCTGTCTCCCTCTTTCCCCTGCTTTCTGGAGCCCATGTGCACCATTCAAAAGTGGTACATAAGAAAAAAAGTATAGCATTGCAGGGCAAGGCTCTGGACGTTGTCCAAGCATTTTAAATTAGAAGGTAATTTAAGAAAGGGGTGAAGAATTTTAGGCAACTTCCTGCATTACAGAGTTTGGAAGCTTACTGAAATGAAAATAACTAAGACAACTTTTTATACCACTGCACTTAGCAACATTTCTTTTTTAATTGTCACAGTTACGCTACTGGCACCGCACCCCTACAAATAGGTGGTGCACATTGGCTGTCTATGTTGCCACCACACATTCTCCAGCAGACAAGGGCACACTACCCCTCCCGCATTAATGCTGTTTGTTTCAGTATACGTGAATAAATGGCCAGAGTGACTTACCTTGTAATTGAAGAAGGCACTTCCAGATTTCGGCGGGCGGGTGATGGCGACGTGCTTCCCGTCAACAGCCCCCAAACTGTTTGGGAACTGCCAACGCCGGGTGAAGTCGCCAGCAATCTTGGCCCAGTCAGCCTTGGTTGGTACCTGGAATAAATTGGAAACCAGGAACAAACTTGTAGGCCGAACAGACCTATTTTTAGCTAAATATCTTTGTGAGGTGGAATGTGAAAAAATGACATTCACTTTTCTCTTGTGCATGCTCTTTGGGCATGGATCCACGGCATGGTGAACCAAATTTTGTACAAGGTGTAAGCTTCCAATCATGCTGAAGGCATGGTGTCACTTTTGTTGCCCAGTTGTACACGGTCAACGCCGTGCATTTTACCACCCCATTTTTTATTTCGACAACACAAAGGTGTGATTACTGCATTTTGAAAACCAGAGTAATCAAATAGACATAGTTCACCAGGCTTTCAAAGCCCATAGGGATATATTGTATTTGCTAATCACAATTGCCTTAGGCACTGTTAATAATAAAATTTTTTTTATTTAAACAGAGTCTTGAAGGTATTGTTTGTACTGCAGATATGAAGTGTACCATTTACTGAAAGAAAATTTTATACAGGCTCTGACGTTACCCACCTTCATAAAGTGGCCCTTCAGACGAGCCCAAATGGCTCTACAGGTCACGTGAATGCTTCTCCGGGCAGTTTCAATGCCGACACGGTAGGCGAGGGCCACGTTGCAGATGTCCAGCCCTGAAGCCAGGTAGCTGCAACACAGAAAAAGTAATTTCTCCTCCGATTCACAATACATGGCCAGCACAACTGCAACAAAAGTGTTTGATAACATGCAAACTCTGAACAGGATTGCCTCTTTAGGTTACAAGCAAATGGCAATATTGCTTTCTGACACGAAGGGGCATCTATATTAAAAAAGTTTGAAGACTTGGCCAATGTGAGAAAGCATAAATGATAGCAACGCCCATTTCGCCATTTCACAATGCAAAAGCCATTTGTATAAGCTGACGTATGCATCTATGATCTGTTCACTGACATGTTTATGTTCTTGCATCAGCATCAGAAGGCAACCTGTACCAACCTCAAGGTTATTGCAAGCTTTTCGCCTGGCTCCAGGGGCTCTCGTATGAAGTGCTGCCGTGTCAAGTCCGCAGCAACAAAGCCCAGCAACTTGTCGAACAGCGCGGGTGACATGCGGTAAAACTTAAAAAAAAAACAGCTGGTCGCCTTCCCGCATTCGACGCATCTGTAGAGAGAAAGAAAGTGTACTGTTGAAGATGGACACAACCATTTTAGTTACTTGTACACCGGGTAAGCCAGCTCCAACGGGCTATGAAAAGGGTAGATAATTCATCATGCATTTACAAGATGCACAGGTACTATCTTTAAGGGAGCTAGCTCATGTCGCAGCTACAAAATCTGGTGAATAAAATGGGGCATCTAGAGCACTCTGGAATTTTATTTTAATTTATACCAAGCGCATTAAACGTTTTCTTAGCCCGGCACACATTGTTTAACCTCTTTTGCGCAAAAAGGAACACGCTAGCTGCGGGTTACAAGGCGGCGGAATGCTTCGCTCGCGCAAACAAAGCGCCGATAACAGACAAGAAGCGAGCGCTTACAACGTGTGCACCCCAGTGTTGGTCATGACGCTATATAGCTTTCAGAAAACACAAACGAAAATTCCTGTTGTGACTAACCAACTCAGCTAACCATGCCTACAATAATAGGGCTAAGCATTAATGCACTGCGAAATAGCAACACAATACTCACGGCTGTGTGGTACAGGCCTTCCTGTTTTCGCGCCAAGAAGACAGGCCGCACCCAGCAACGGTGCTCTTGTTGCCTTTGCTGCCGCCTTCTGACGATTGCCTTCGCTACTCGCGTAGCTAGCAGGAACAGATGGCTGCGAGTCAGCGTTGCGACCATTTTCTCTCGATGAAGCAGGATAAACGGAAGCGGGCTTGAAAAGAGCGGTAAGCAAAACCAGAGGAGGCGATGTCGAAACACTGCGCTACCGAGTAAACAAAAACCGCCGACTTGGCTCGGATGCTCGGCTCGTGGCTAGGCTCGGCTGCTGTGTGTGTGTGTCAAGTCGTGTCGATAGTTCGCGTCGACAAGAAACAGTTTTTTCGGCGTCTCAAAATGAAAAAGAAATGCTTTTATGCGTTTTAGTAACTATTTTGCGGCCTGTTAGTAGTGCGCATGTGTGTCTGTAGTCAGGCAGTTCTGGCCAGTGTGGTCTAGCGACATTGGGCTGCGCAAGTCGAGCGCGGGGCGGTGAGCGTTCGCGCGCCTCTTATGTGGTTGCTCGCCCTCCCCCTTCACAGGCGCCCCAAACGCATGAGCACGCCAGCGCGTAGAATCTCGCGCGCGAACGCGTGCGTGGAGTTGGGGCCTTAGACCTAACCTGGCCTTCGCTGGTGTGGCCAGGGTTATAGAGGCTGATCGCTTTCGCTGTGGCGACGTGCAGCCGGCCACACCGACGAGGCGCGAACCAGGGAAGCCGAACGCAACCACGACAACGCTTCTGCTTCGCAGGTATCTGAGAAAGGACGCTAGGGGGCCAGATGAAGCAAACGTGCTTCGCATGAGATCCCGCCTCAACGCCTCATCTCACCCTGAAAACCTCATCGCCGCCACCTATGAAGTACTTGACCGTCTTCTACTAATCAAGCGCAGTCGGTGGTTGACCAGTTTTTAACCTGTGAGTCTATATTTCCTGAACGTCTGCTTGTTTGAAGATCTAAGGCGAAGGACGCGGCTCTAAGCCTAAGCGGCGTCAGGCCGCTGGCCCGACGAAACGTTCCACGCTACGCGTGAGCATGGCTGACGACGACGCGGCTGCGTCAACTGGAGCCACGAAATCGATCGAAGACAAAGCTCAAGGCAGAGAAAATGCTACCAGTGTCTCGCAAAAGAAGCCTCTTGACAACGGGGAATGGTTCACTGCAACGTACCACAACTCAAGGCTGATCGCCGTTCCGGAGACTGGAGCCGAAGCCGTAAACAAATCAGCATCGAGCACACTTAAATAGAAAGGGAATCCTCTTCGGAAAGAGAAACTACCTGCACTTCCGAAAACTGACTTCAAGGTCATCATTAAACTGAGGGATGGGCTCAACATCAGTCACCTAAGCACGCATCAGATGGCACGCGCTACAACTAAGGCATGTGGTAACCCAGACATCTGCAACGAAGGCAACCTGCTTATACGGCTGTGCAATGGATCTAATATCGCCATAATCAGCACGCCAAGCATGGAGACCGCCAACATTGTGCAGAGCCTTCGAAGTCTGCGTTTTGGTGCAGAAGACTATGCAGTGATTGCTTACATAGCCATGCCGGAAAACTCGTGCAGGGGTGTTATTCACGGACTGGACGCTTGGACCACGCGTACCGAATTACTAGCCCATCTTCGGGTGCGTACCCAAGGAGTGAAAACACTTTATGCAAGAATACTTGGAAAAGGATTAAAAAAGATAGGGATAGAAATAGGAGCAGGGACAGACAGACCTACATACGGAAAACAAGAAAAACATAGAAGAGATGGACAAGGTCGCAGAATACCGAGGACAGGGCACCACTCAGCGAGAGCTTTTGATTGATTTATATTTGGGGTTTAACGTCCCAAAACAGCAGTAAGGTTATAAGAGATGCTTTAGTGGAGGGCTCCGGAAATTTTGTCCACCTGGGATTTTTTTAACGTGCACCCAAATGTGAGCACACGGGCCTACAACATTTCCGCCTCCATCGGAAATGTAGCCGCCGCAGCCGGGATTTGATCCCGCGACCTGCGGGTCAGCAGCCGAGTACCTTAGCCACTAGACCACCGCGGTGGGACGAGAGCTTTTGGCGGAGTCAGGAGAAGGCGTAGGGTAAGCCAGTCGGCCAGAGCTTTGCTGTCGTCGGAAATCGCGTGGGTGCAACCGGTCGGCGCGAAATCCAGCAAGCCAGTCCACGGATTGGTTCGCCATTTGGGGTATCGTTTGGTCCCTGTGGTGTCATAAAAGAAAACGTGACCGCGGACAAACAAACAAATGTGCAGACAGAAAGACAGACAGACAGACCGAAATTTCGGCGTCACGTAGAAATTGGGCATGTAGAAGTTCACACCATTGGGCGTTCTTTAACGTGCACTGTCATCACGCAGTATACACAGGCCTCTACCATTTCGCCTCCATTGAAATGCAACCACTGTGGCTGGGAACGAACCCGTGACCTTTAGATCAGCAGCTGAGCACTTGAGCCACTGAACCACCGCAGTGATCACATGTAGTTCAACTGTAAAAAGCAGATAGGAAGACAACTGCGAATTTTTCCACTATGTGGATGCTTTGCCTTTTAGTGATCACAAAGCATATTTTCAGCAGCACCAAAGAGTCATTGTGGCCCGATAGGCTCTCGTTTACGTACTCAAGCCCAAATGATAACTAGTAGTAAAAATAAGTTGTTTGTTTATGGGGGCAGAAATATACCCATGGAAACAGCAGAATAGCATTTGCAAGAATTCAGAAAAAATTGGTGCCTAAAAAGCTATGCAGCAGTTTCCCAGGTGCTATATACCATTTTGACAACAATTGTCAAAATACGAAGAGCTACTCAGAGCTTGTGGCACTTAAGTGCAAACTAACATTGGGCGTGTACTGACGTGAGGCTTCCGTCTTTGTCTTTTTACGTGCTTTTATTTTCAATTCTGCAGTCTAGCGGAAACTTTCACAGCTGAGATGCATTTCTTTGGCCTCGATTCTTACGTTGGATACACAACGACTACGCCGTAACCTTTTAGGGGCTGCTGTGGAAACATTCACGTACAAAATATTCTGATGTTTAAAGAATTCGGAAAGAATTTATGCTTAAGTCACCCATATTAGAGAAAAAACATAGGCGACTCAGTGGTTTCAGATGAATTCAAAAAATATTTTAGCTAAAATGTCTCTCTGATGTTTGTTCCCAAAGTTGTATTGATGTTCTAAATATGATATTTGGCAATAAGGGCACGTTGGTGAATTTAATAATACAGTGGTAGGCTCCTCGCTTCAATTGACTTAAATAAGCTTTTGACGTCAGCACGACGTCTCTATGGCGTCACATACACTGAAGGCACATGCTGATGACGTAACATCATCGCGTAGTGAAAGATGAGCTGATCATGGAGCCACAGCAAAAACACGTAAGGTGCAAAAACCTTCACATGCCTCCAATATCGAAGGCAGTGCAATACCGCGGTAGGGGCACAAAGATTTGGGGAGAGGGGTACAGTCAATACAATATACTGCGAAGAAAAAAAATGGCTTCTGTCAGCAAGTCTTCTAAATAAGATTGAAATAGGATATGGTTTCAGCCCTTTTGATCGATAAGGTTGCCGCACTTCGGTTAGTTGCTGACGTACAAAGGCTGTTAATAGAATAGAGCAAAGAGCCTCTAAGGAAGAGCAAGCGTAATTGTTCGCAAATATATATGTTTAACACATCTGTCAAATAAGATGAACAAAAAGAGTTTACTTAACATTTCACACAGTGACGCAAAGAGTGTAAAGGTCCTGAGAGCTTCGACATTTCCTTGAACGCTTGTCTCTGCTTGACGTCAGCAGCATTGTTTTTTTTTTCGCAAATGTTCTGATTTAAAAACAACTGTTTATTTAGAAGAAAAATTCAGTTATGGCCAAACTATATGAAGCTCATTGATGTTTCTGCGCTGATGTCATCTTCTTTCATGACCTGTTTATATTAGAATTGATGTTTTGGTGTTCTTGCATTGCGAAGAAAGGACATGAGATGCACAAAACAAAGTGACATAAATAAGCGACTTGGGCTGCAGTCACACATGAAGCTATTCTTCGTTCAATACTACTCGTATTCACTCGTGAAGTGAGCATATTGGAAGACATGTATATATAAGAGTTGTGCTAAAGCTGCAAAAGAGTTGCTAAGCAAAGAAGCTTCGAATATTTTTGAATAAACAGGCCGAATATGCTTCAATGCTGAAAGTTTGTCACGATGAGCATGTGTTCTTTCTACGTTAGCTAAAGGACCAGCAAGGGAATTTTATATTGTTTAAAATGGTATTTCAGAAAGTTTAGCTTGTGTTTAGGGTTTTGGATTACCTCAAAGTCAGTGGAAAAGTATAGAACATGACGTTTATCCTATTACTTAACAAAATAGATTGGAAAACAACAACACTTATTCTCTCATAACGGGAGGTTGTCGGGGCTTATATTTTAAATAGAACTAAAAGACGCAGCGGCAAAGCTTTTCTAAATGATTGTGAGGGAAGTATAAAGCAGTGACTCTTGCAAATATTCCTAAAAGGAGATGCTATGACTCATGACAGTTTAATGATCCTTATGGCATTTCACTGCCAGTGTCGAGATATCACGTTTTATACTTGGTGGACGTAGGAGCCAGCGTTATATTTGCACCTACATCATGAATGGATCAGCTGAAGCTCTAAAAGGTAAACAAATATGACTACTACATGCGATAACTGTGGTGTTTGAGAGGAAGCCTCAGAAATGCCATTTGAGCTTTGGAGAGCTGAAACTTCTTTAACATGCGAGTTCAGTAGAAGATTGGCCCAATCTACACAAAGCTACAGCCATCGCCACGTTTCCTGCTCTATCAGAGAAGCGCAACTACATGTTTTCTTGGCTTGTATGCGTCTTATTTTACACTATACAAATTTGTCATTGATATCGAGTCACTCACGCTGTTCCTAGAAAGTATACATTTTGCCAGCGCTGCATCAACTGCTAAAGCACAAGGCAAAAAACACCAGTTCTTGGCTATATTGATGAAGTAGCTCTGTAGACGTTCATGCGAATGCAGTAATTTACGATTTGGTGCTGTCTTTGCTCAACAACATGGTGTCGCTGAGCAAGTTATACCTTAGGCCATTCACACTTTTATCGAACTGAGGTCCACTATTCT